CAGAAACTCCAAAACATCACTCCTTGTTTTTCTGAAAAAAAAAAAAAAAACTAGGCAAATATTTTTTTTTTCTCTTGAGAAAGATGATTTTGGCCCTCAAGAGATCTTTTTAAATATTAGAATGGCAGATAACTGAATTTTTTGTAGACAGATGTTGTGAAATGTGCTTGTGGTAATGATGTTTGTTTAGTGTTTCCCTCAAAGGAATTCTGAGTGCTTTACAGTCATTTTCTTCATTATTTCTTAAGGTTTTTTATTTTCCTGATCCTATTTTAATCTCAAGCATAAATTCTTCCTTCAGTTCTTCTCGCTACATTGTCTCTGAAATATCTCCTGTTAGCCTCATGTTCTACTACTGTCTGCACTTCCAGGATTGTATACTGACACCACTTCAGACATCCTTTCAAGATGTTTGCTTGGTATCTCCGGCTTCTCTTTCTCTATTTACTATTTTTATTTGCTCTTTCAAACTTTTCCATTTATATTTTTCACCATACTTTCTCCCCCTTGAGAGAAGGATTGCTTGAAATATACCTTCTTCTTCTACATAATTTTTTTTTCCTTTTTTGTTAATTTTAGTTGTTTACTCATTTCTAACCTGCCTTGCTCCATAAAGAATTGGCAGTGACTATCTAAACATGTTCTTTAACATGAGCCCTGTTGGTTGGAATTGGAAATCTGATATTCGTAGATTTTCTTTTTCAAAAAAGTTTCACCTTTCAGTACTCAAGGAATTTAACTTTCCTTCTCATTTCTTTTCTTGTTTCCTTGAAGAAACAAGAAAAAAAAATCACGACTTTAAGACAAGTTCATATTTTGTAGAAACAAATTGGATACTGCTATCCCTTCAAAAAGTAACCTCTAAAAGCACCTCATCATTGGGCTTTAATCTGTAGGACGTAGAGAGCCCCTGTCGTAAAGAAATTATGATCATGAAATTATGTGGAAGGCACCTCAGAATCTATACACTTATTTTTACAGATGCAGAAACTGAGGCTCACAGTACTTTAGAAATGTGTTTATAGTCTCAGAAATACTCAGAGACACGTTTCGAATTCATTTAGAAGACAAGTCACCTGGAACATTTAAAAAATCATTAAAGAAGGTAGTAGATAGCATGAAATGATGAATAACTGGGTTCCAGGCAGTGGTGAGCTGGTAGATGTTTAACAATAGGGGCTGGGGCTGGACAGAGGGAGCCTGATTGATAGTGTTTGCCACCTTCATGGTGCCCATGCCAGTTTCAAGCTACCAGCCTGACACCCTTGAACCAGGAGTTGGGAAGAGATGAGCATAATCCAGTCAGCTCTCGAGAGTGGCAGAGATCATCCGGCTACAGTGAGTAGGCCCTTAAGGAGGAGAACTGTGCTAGACCATTGCTCCCCATGCCTCAGACCTTACAGTTGTGAAGAATAATCCATTTTCATTTAGCCTCTGCACCACTCTGCTCCTTCACTCTTGCTCTTGCTTTGGCAGATAAATAATCTTACCTCCTCAGCTATCATTTACATTTCAAGCCCCAGCTCAAAATGAGGATCTGTGAGATTTCTTCTGATTCTTTTGGAAATCGTCACTTCTACTCTGAATGCCAGAGTACTTTATTTATATATTTTATTAGAGTAATTACCAAAGCCTAACTTGTCCTTGGATAGTGGATATTAATTATCAAAGCCTATTATTGTTGATGGATAGTGTCTTTTCCCTCTAGACTGTCCTTGGAGGAAAAGGAACATGTCTTACTCCTTCCTTGTCAGAGAAGCAGTACAGTGTGGTGGGTAGGAGCCCAAGCTCTGGAGTCAGACTGCTCAGCTTCAAGTCCCTTACCATGGGACCTTGGGCAAGTCATCAAACCCCTCTGTAGCCATCTGTAAAATGAAACATTAAATGTGAGTCCCAATATCACAGGCTCACTGTGATATAGTGAGATTACTAGATATGGTCAGTGCCTAGCACATCTATGCCCTCAATAAATGCAACCTGGTATTGTTACCTCTAGCACACAGCCCAGTGCCTGGCACAGAATCAGTGTGCAGTTGGTGGTGGTTGAAATGAATGGACTTGAAGTAAGGATATGACCCAGCTAACTCGGTAGGAAGTTGGGAAAGGGTGTGATAAAGGGAACTGCATGAACAAACTATTGTTGGAGAAATGAGAATGATATATTTAATAAAAATCAGTAGGTTATAGAATTATAGGATCAGAACCCAGGTTTCCAGCTGTGGTATGATGAACACAGAGAAGGGTAGGATCATTCGTACCTTCCCTTCACCCCATATGCTAGATGATGTATGTCTATAAATATACCATTGTTATTGCAATAGCTTTTGTAGACTGCTGATTGAAATATCTCATTTTCGATGCTGTGCAATTGCTTTTTAAAACATCAAAATGCTAGATTTTGAGTACAAATACTGTTACATTTCAATTTGATTCAGTCCATCATTCCCACTAATTCATATCTCCTCGAAACTTGATTCTGCAATGCAGTTTATCTTTCCTCCTATCTAGTTTTCTGCTGTCTGCAATTTTGTAAGCATGACTTCTATTTTGTTTTCCAAAATACTATCCAGGCTGCTTCTAAGAACAGAGTCCCCTGACATGACACTAGTGACTTTTCCTATGTTGGCAGTCATTCATTAAACAATCTATTGTTTTCCTTTTTGGGTACAGATTTTAAACTGCTTTCAAATCTATCAAAGTGTGCAATATCCATATTGTTCACAATAGTATCTGAGAAACTCTGCCAAAATGTTATGTATGTAGCATTTTTTCCACAGATATAGTAAGTCTATTAGAAGAGAAAATGCAGCTAGTTTGTTGCAAAGTGTCCTAATTAATCCATGTTAGCTCTTAATACCAACAACTTCCTTTTCCAAGTTGAACTAAGGATTCATGATGTAAAATAGTGAAGTTAACTGTATCAAGGTAGGCTAGACTCAACCTACAGACTTTGACTATCTAGGTGAGAAATTTGGGCACAATTCTGAGGACAGTGAGAGATTGTTGAAATTTTTGATTCAGGGTTATATGACAAAATTGTGTTTTCTGGCAGCAGTGTCCACAATGGACTCTGGGGGGACCTTTAGTGAGATTTGAAATTTCCTGCAATAATATCAGAATGGGCCGCTGGGCTATATTAGGCTAGGCTAGTAGCAATAAAGATAGAAGAGAATAAATTTGGATTTAAGAGAAAAAAAGTCAAAAGGGACTATTGAGGGAAGATGATAGGAAATAAATAAATAAATAAATAAATAGATAGATAGATAGGTACTTTAGGGCTTCTCAACCTTTTACACATTATTGAAGGTGCAGAATATAAAACCAATTCAGCCACTGGGGTAAATAGGCCTGTTTGGGGATGGGGTACCAATGTCTGGGGCCCCCAGGACTAAGTCTCTCCTCTCCCAATTCCTACCTGCCCCAACTGGCAGAGGACATTAGTATCTCCACTGGCTGCAGAGCCATTTGGAAATTTCTGTTTTAGAAATAAGTAGTCTTAGTAATATGAGAAAAAATGTCTTGTACTAAAATCAGGATCAACAGTTCAGAGAAGTCTATATACATGAAGGAAAGCAAATGTTTGGTTCGGTGCATGATTCTGAACAAAGAAGCAAAACATCATTTATACCCTTGAAAGAAAACCAACCAGCATCAGTCAAACAGGGACTGTGTAGGAACCAAATAAGATTGCCCAAGCCACCAAGCCACTGCTTGCATTATAATGATGCAGTAACACAAGGGCAGGGGCTGTGCAGGCTACTGGACAAAGAAACCAAGAAGGAAGGAGTCTGGGTTTTGCATTAATTTGGAAATCCAAGCCGATTTGCTTGAAAATTTACAAAGTGCTACCAACTTGTTGCTTCTTATTGATTTCTGTAGTTAATAAATTAAGTAGTGCTGTAGTTCCTGGTGCCTCACCTGTTCTACTACTTTATATTGCTGCATGGAGGAAATCATAGATTGAGAAAATATAGGTGCTTGCAATCCATAATTCCTGATGATAATTGAAGATGCTCAGTTATAGAAAATAAGCAAGTATTCCCTCTTTCTCCATTAAACTCAATGAGACAGAGAGATCAAGAGCCCCCCGACAAAGCCATGTCGATTCCCTTATAAATAGGAATGAGTAGCTCTTCTGAAAAATAATGGAACCCATACATTTCTCAGGATGGTTGCCAGCAGGCCGCCATGTTCATGATTCAGGCGCACTGGCCTTTCACATTGGAGTCCATGTGGATGGTGCTCCCTGGTGTTGGGACACTCAGCCTGTGTGGCCATAGGTGGTGGCTCACAGAGAGACATATCTGATTCATCCCAGGGCTTCCACCCAGCCCAGGAGGTGCACGTCTGCATTGACCCACGTTCGTCCCCAGCCTAACTGTGCTCCCTTCCCAAACAGTGTTAGTATTCTTTAATCCCAATTTGTAATTTTATTCCAATTCAGATCCACCTAGCTCTCGCCACTGGATCTCTTCTACAGTCAAAGCAAATCCTTTTGGCTCATTTGCTCCCATTGTTCTGTTGACCTTTCCACAGCTATCCGCTGCTCTCACCATCATGCTCCTTGTTACAGTTAAGTAGAAAAAACTGGCAGCCACACATAATGCAGGCAACTCCAGCATCCTCACAGCACTTACTGCACAGTGCTGCAAGGTATTTGTTTACATATCTGACTCCACTCACTATGAGCTTCATGAAGGACAGAATGATGCTTCTTTGAGCCGTGGGTCTTGGCAGGGTGCCAGCACATAGTAGGTTCTCATTTAATGTTTGGTAAGTGAGTGATAATTGAATGTATTGCCTTTCTTACATTTGGACACAGTAGTCTCATTTGGGGCATATGACTAGAGAGAAGAAAAAGTATTCCTCTCTCTAGTTTGTACAATGTTGGCACTTGTTGGTTTTTGTTCAACTGCTTCCTGGAATTATTCAGACAATACAGGGACAGGCTGTTATGTTGTGGCCAGAGGTTTCTGATTCTCGTGTTCATTCTTGTGCAGGTGGGGAAGTGGAAAGACAAGTCCCTGCAGATGAAGTACTATGTGTGGCCCCGAATGTGTCCAGAGACTGAAGAGCAGGAAGATGACCATCTGAGCATTGTGACTCTGGAGGAGGCACCATTTGTCATTGTGGAAAGTGTGGACCCTCTGAGTGGAACCTGCATGAGGAACACAGTCCCCTGCCAAAAACGCATAATCACTGAGTATGGCATCCTCTCAATGACTTTGGGTGGCATGGAAGAGTCAGCTTTGATGCACCTGTTAGCACTTGGCTGGCCTGAGACCTGAGGCATGAGAACTGGGCACTGTGTCTGATTTCTAGTTGTTTTTGATCTGTGGGATTACTGGCAGCCCTCTGGTCTAATGTCCCATTCTGTCCAGATGGTGACCTGGGAAAATGATGGCTAACTTCCTATGCTAAACTTTCTCTGGTCTTGCTTGGCCTCAATGATCAGGGCCTCAAGTTTATGGAGATTTAAGTTTACTTCTGGTTTTCAAATATGTTTTCTTGGGCCAACATGCCCCAAAATCTTGAGAGTTAGAACTATTTTTTGAAAAATATAAAACTAATCTATGCTTTTAAAAGTCAGGATAATGGTTTTCCTTGGTGTGAAGTGCCTAGAGTGGGAAACAAGAGGCCTCTTGGGTGCTGGTAACTTTTCTGTATCTGGATCTGGGTGCTGATTAAAAAGAGGAGTTCAGTCTGTGAAAATTCATTGAACTGAGGCCTTCAAATATGCACCCTTTTCTTATGTATTTTGTACTTCAAAGGAGAATTAAAATTAAGAGGAAACATATCTCCATGTGATGAGATAATGAGAATAGTGCAGGTCTGCTGTCTGTCTTATTTCTTCACTCGAGTCTAGTGTAAATTGTGCTGAGCTGTGAAGGGGGTCTGCTTCGGGATTGGAGGTGTTTTAATGGCAAAGGGTAATAAATGTTGCCTTTTTGTACAAAGCCTTTTTGTTCATTTGTTTTTGTTTCTTTAACTGGCTAGGAATAAAACAGATGAGGAGCCGGGTTACATCAAAAAATGCTGCAAGGGGTTCTGTATCGACATCCTTAAGAAAATTTCTAAATCTGTGAAGTTCACCTATGACCTTTACCTGGTTACCAATGGCAAGCATGGGAAGAAAATCAATGGAACCTGGAATGGTATGATTGGAGAGGTGAGTGTCCACAAGGGCTGTTTCCATTTTCATTTATTTTCCTTCTTTTAAATGTATGTTTTAAACATGCTCACTTTATGCATTTCAGAAAATACAAAATGGCAAATAAGATGTATTGTTCCCACTATATAAAGAAAACCACAGCTAGGCTGTATTTTCCTCGTGGTGGTCCCTTGCCCTCTGAATGTTTTAATTGGAGGATTGCGCCTTTCTCTTAGGTGGTCATGAAGAGGGCCTACATGGCGGTGGGCTCACTCACCATCAATGAGGAACGATCGGAGGTGGTCGACTTCTCTGTGCCCTTCATAGAGACAGGCATCAGTGTCATGGTGTCACGCAGCAATGGGACTGTCTCACCTTCTGCCTTCTTAGGTAAATGATGGGTTTGCTGGTGGAAGGAAATGGACATATGGATGGGGAAGTGAAATAGGGAACAAAGAAGGAGCACATGGCCAGGCTCTTCCAGCTAGGAGGTGGTGTGCTAGGAGCTCAACTCAGTCAGGGACTTCACTTAGGGGACTTCAAAATTAATTACTCTCAAACATGAAAACTGATGAACACCCAGAAAAATAGGAAAGCATAATGCCGTCTAAGAAAGCAGTACTGGACTGGTCCTCAGAGGGCCTACTGTAGTCCCATTCCTGCCATTTAGTCAGCATGTGACCTTGAACAAATTTGCTCTATCTGGGGACTCAGTTTCCTCATCCACAGGAGAAGTCATTTCAACCAGGCTGATCTCTGAGGCTGCTTCCTGCCATAATAATTTCTAATTCTGGATATCATTGAAATATCTATTTATTTTTAATTATCTGCAAGAATTGTGCTCAGTGCTACCAAAAAAGGTTTTTTGTTTCCACGCAAATTTTCTGAGGCTTTGCCAGATAGAGCTGATCTGATTCTTCCTCCCACCCCAGCGCACCCCTCCCCATACCATTCTCTCCAGCATCACTTAAATGTCAAAAATCTCAGATGTGATATAAGACTGGGTGAGATGAGGCCAAGATTTCAGTTAGATGAGGTCTTTTGTGAGCTCATACCCCATACTTTTTTCAGGGGCCATGGAATGAGGGGTTGGAAAACAAAACGTCACCTTGAAAACAGAACACTGGGCTAGCAGAAAGGAGACTGGGTTTGGCCTAAACAAGCCATAAGCCCCTGGACGAGTCACCATCTCTCTAAGGGACATCAACATTTTTTAAATGGGGCTATTACAGTAGACAGTGACTAACATTTCTTTAAGCTCTAACCATAGGGAATTAATTCAATTAATGCACTGCAAAGTGGAGTTATAGGCGCCATAGAATTTTTCTATAAATTACTCAAATTTCTTAGCTAATCTTCTTACTCACAGTGAAGCAAATTCCAGCCTTGCCAATTTTATGTGAAATGTGATTAGATAGTACACACTGTATGCAGTAATTCTCATAGCTGCTGTACGTATTTTATTTGCTTTTTTTCCTGTGCAAGGATAATTGGAACATTAAGAGATATAAACAAAACCACATTCTAATTCTAACCTTGTCAGTACAGCACTACCTTAACTTCTGAACTGGCAGAGCCAGTGGTACATTAATATATCACTGGAATGGCATAGAAATGTCAGGCAGGGTGTGTTTATGTCTGTGTTCAGAGGAGGAGCAGTTAGTAATAGGGATAAGAGAAGCCAACATTTATTGAGCACCTACTATATAATGTGCCAGGCATCATTGTACACCCTTTGGTAATATTAACTCATAAAATGTTATTATACCCATTTTATAGCTTAGGAAACGGAATCTTAGACATATTAAGCCATTTTCCAGCAGTCTCTTAGCTGATAACTGGCAGCTCTAGGATTAAAATCCAGCTATGGTAGCCTTCAGAACCTGTGTTCTAGTACAAATAAGGCCTTTTCAGGGTTCAGCCCCTAACCCAGGAACCAGCATGGGGGACAAAGAGCAATGTAATAAAATGAAAAAACACAGACTTTTTGGCTCAGTTTGTAACTTGACCCTGCCACTTTCTGAGTATGAACTGGAAAGAACCTTGACCTCTCAGTCCTAGTTTACTCCTCCATAAAATAAATAAGGTAATCCCTAATGAAAGGGCCATTAGAAGGATTATATATACAGTATGTGGTAAAGTACTTTCTAAATTGTAAAGGCCGAAACAGACGATGTATTTTGTGTATAGAAAGTTTCCCTGGGCCTAATGGGAGGAAAAGACCATAGAGGTGATGCTTTTACTCAGTTATTCCCCAATCTTAGACAAAAGAGAAATCAGGGTAGAATTGCAATCAATTAGAGTCAAGTGTGCAGAGGTTTTCTCTGCACCTCTGGAGAGAGCCTTTGAATTGTACCTCTTACGCTCGCATCTCTAGCTGCCATTAAAAGGTTTTGCATTTCACAGTTGGTGTGTTAAGCACTGGGGCTTTATCAAGATCTTTTTAAAATTGATTAAGTGAGCAAGCTTTTACAATTCCTTTGGGAGTTCGATAATAAAGTAGGTTTCAGAGTAAGAAATATATTTTCTAATTTTCAGCCAATTTTTCCCCTTTTTAAACTTCATCTTTATTAATGATTTGGAAGATGGAGAAAACAGCATGTTAATTCACTTAGTTATGAGTTTACAATGTGCTGTGACAGCTAAAAAGGCCAGAACTATTTTGAGACACAATTGAGGGAGCATTGTATCATGGGACAGAATAGTGATTGTCCCTTTTTATAGGCCTTCACAGAGATGGCTTCTGGAATATAGTATCTAGTTTCGGGACACCTCCAAGCCAGAGAGATATTTAGCTCAACTGGAAAGCATTCAGCACACATGATTAAAGATATTAAAGAAAGCATGTATGGAACATTCTTGCTACCTTGCCCAGTCTTGTCCCATCAACCCTATCACTTGGTGACAGGGGATAGATTGTAGTTGGTTTGTGAATTACAGCTTAGGCATGTTCCCTTGTCACTTGTTAAATTCCCACCGTTGCAGATAATAAT